GCTAAATTAGGGACGGCTAGCGCAGATAGCCCTCTTGTAGCTTTGCGCGAAATTCAAAAACAAACAAACAATCAAACATTAAATTTGCATTATAGCGGGCCTGTAAATGTGGGCCCATAGACCCACAGGTTCGGTAGTCTCATTTGTAGTTTTATCTTATAAGATGTTTGTTTAGTTGTCTACCATATGAAGATAGTAAATACTTTCAGTAAATACCTCGGTAGCTAATCAGGCTATATATAGCAACAAACATAATTTCTTGCCATATTTCACCTGATCAGGCACTGGGGTATTAATTGCCATACGTAGCCTGACTACATTATTTTATTTAGTTATCTTCCTAAAGCACGTAAACAAGTTTCACACAACGCTTGCAAGGATGCATTATTACACACTGTTTGAAGAACACTTACAATGAATATGTTTTGAAGCTTATTTTTAAGATGATATAACTCTTATAATTCTATTTTTTAACCTTTCAAGACTATCATTGGAAACATCTTCTCCTGAAAAATATCAGGAGTGTAAGACTTTGCTAGATATATTAAATCCAGACTAATATAGTATTGCAACGTTGTTATTTCGTTGGCGGGTTATTTTAAATTATCTGGTGAAAATAATTCAAAGTCCAGTCCCCATAAAAGATAACAACTTAGTTTATTTCTTTATTTACTTTTTTGGAAGTTTGAACAATGTGGAACTCGTACACCACGTTTACAAATGACACTAACTGCACTAGACTAACGTAAAAATAACTCGATATGCGCGATATCCAGCACAGAACCTCATACTTCATTAAAAACAAAACTCGAACTGGAACGAAAATACATTAATACATAATTCACTGTACCGGCTAGAAATTCTTATCCTCTTAACTACCTTCTCTATGCTTCACAGAACCCCCGTATTTATAATATACCCTCGAATTTACTAGAAACTCTGACGCCAAATCTTTTAGAACTTTCTAGATGTTTTAGACCTACATTATTAAAACTTATTATCTTAACGTTATTATTACCACCCACAGTTGTTGTTGTTTTTTTCAATAATCTGCAATATTAAAAATGTAGTTTACAACTAATGGTTTTCACTGGTGCTTCGAGAGGGTCCTCCAATTGGTCCGCGGGCTGTTGCAAAATGTAAGTCACTGACACCGAGGCCATAGGAACAGACCAGGTGGGGTAGGAATGGTAGATGGTTCGTGGGGTCTTTTGCCCCACCGAAGTGATTTGCGGACGAAAACGTTTGAGAAGCACTGGTTTACAACGATAGGAATATGAAATGTATTAACCGTATTGAAATTCTATTAGCCGAACTAATTTTTTTTATCATCATAATGCATATCTGTATTCATTACAATTAATTCTTTCACAGTATTACAAAAGGAAAAACAATCCAGGAATATCAGTCTACTTCGTATGAGGACTGGTTAATCTCTCCACAAATAAAGTAAATCGACGTCTTGAACATAACAATATGATTTCAATTAAGATATACAAAAACGTAATCTATGGGCAGATTACCCAGTGTATGTATACGATGAAACCAAAAGAACCATATGGCATTTAGAAAAACTCGCCATCTTCTGTCGTATAAAAAAAAGGCCACGGAATTCCGAGCGAGTAGTTCGAGTCATTTCAC